TTTTTAAACACAGACATACCATAGTCAGCAAACTTACTAGTTTAAGACCATTCTATTTTATGTCCTGTTTTTGCCATGTGTTCGGCAACTTCTGACTGTTGGATCCAGCTACCTTTGCAAGCATTTTTGTATTCTACCAATCTTTGTCTAATAGGTCGGAATGTCTCACCAACTTAACATCGACCACATGAGCAAACAATTTTTTAGCAGCCGGATCTCAATAAGGGGTCATATTTCTCTCTAAATGATGGCATAACAGAATAAAGTGTGAGGGTTTATTTGAGTACTGTTTTTATGCCCCATTTTTTCACTAATTCGCCTATCTTTTTTGAGAGAAAGCATGACGGTAAAATAAGGACGTGGGAAAATGTCTCAGTCTGTCTCTCTTTGACTAAATGGTTTCCGAAACGAGGGCGGAAGACTCGTGGACTACGTCAACATGAATATCATATAAAAGCCGAACGGCTGTGGTACAAGGATTTTCATCCGTCCTCATCTGGTGAGATCGACAAACGAATCTCTTCTTCATGCACTTTTATTCGAAATGAAGGTCCCCCTAACAATGTTATCTCAGGAGATTCTTTTGTTGGAATTATCGATCTAGCAAAGTTATATTCGCTATAGCATATCACTATCAATTGTTTCAATTTTCAATTTTGTCTTAAACACTACCATTATATCAGAGATATGATGCTTTCTTATTTCAATCCTTTCATTCCCTGAATTCCGACCTATATGCTTTTGGACAGCTACTATACATTAGCAATTTTCCTCGATTTACTATTTTATTTTGATTTTTTTCTTGCACATTAATCCTGTATCATTGACTTCTTATACCGACTTCCTTTTCTTCCTTGTTCCTAGAATCGCATAGTTGGCAAATTCCGAGCAACTCGCTTGTAGGATTGACACTGGACAAGATTGCTGACTTGCTTCGTTGACCTCAAAACTATTTTATATATCGTTTGCAGCGTTTCTTTAATTTTCTTATATCTCACCTGAATCAATTTCCTTGCTTTCTTGCCCAATTGGTTTTAATGTATTGAGTTACCCTTATGTACTGACTGCCATATGGTAGATATCGGGTCTAACATGGAAAGCCTATACTATGAGATCTCTTAGGTCTATGCATAGAAAACTCACATTCACTAGGCAATTCAATCTATTGACCCACCCACATGTTCTCATATCATCACGTAGGCATATACCGTTCACTTATCCAACGAATGCTTTAAAAATTTAATAGTTTTGGAATCCCTTAATGAATAAATATTATAATTTTACGTCTCAAAGTTCACTGTAGCGAGCGTGAAAATTCGACTGATAAAGCCGCCACACCGGCGCCCTATTTGACGCCTGGGTGTTTCATGAAGCCCCAGAGGCTCCTCTTCTACTCTTAGTAATTTCTTAATTCTATTATTTTGAAAGCCTGATAGGCGTACCGATCTCTCTCATCCTGGTTTATGGAATAATACAGAAGGGCCGTGAATGGGAACTTGAATCCCAACTGGCCACGCGCGAAAGGATGAAAAAGTTGCGTGTGAATAATCCACAGCTCCCTTGACTCGCCATGAGTAACCGCGCGAGTTATGAGGCGAACTATATCAAAACCATAGCCACGCCCACCTTTTTGTACGTCTTTCCAGCACAACACTAGCCTCATTAATAATATACTGTTACTTGCCCATTATATTATTGTTCTATCAGAAGACAGTAAAACCCCAGTACGTGATCGCACCACATCCGAATATGTGAATATGAAACATAATTGTTATCTCGGCTGTAAATCTTTAATTTATTAATTCAAGAACGAACATGACTGGGGAGGAAGCTTATTCGCCGTTAGGAGTGCCTATTTTCAATGCGCAGACGCCTCCGGCACTGTTCACGGTCGCAGCTGAAAAGGTACTCGTAGTGTAAGTGCGTAGAGGAGCCTGGCGGAGTTTTTGGCGTCGTCGAATCCGCAATGCTGCTTCCCGTCAAATGGGATTCCCAGGAGGGCAAGTGAATTGGCCAAAGTTCCGCTGAAGGACTTGATGGGAATTTTGAGAATTGGACGGTTACGATTCAACCATTCCTAAAATCAGAGCAGAATAATTTGCATATCTTTAGCGACACAATACTACTTAAGCATATATGCACGCACAAATCCAGTTTATCCCTATATCAAGCGGGCGTTTGTATGTAAATGGAGATTGTTAGGCTAATGGGCAAGACAGTTAGTCCTTTTAGCTCGTCGCTAAGCGAGGTTGGTGCGCGGGATAGCGGTATAACGGTTTCCAATAGTGACGAATCTCAGCCTTCGAACCTATACAGAATGGATTACCCGCCACGTCTTCCATTAAACCTATCTTTCGAGATCTCTGCCCGTTTCTTCGCGGGTGCCTCCGGAGTAGAGATACACGCAAGCATGGAGGGTAGCAGCACTTCGGCTCTAATCCCTGGACCCCGTGAGAAATTGAGTGCGCGTTCGGTTGGTCCTGGGATATCCACGCTGAAAGATGTCTATGAATGATTAGGGTGACATTTGGCCTGTGTAAAGGTAAGACGGGGTTCAAGTGACTTGGTGTCTAGTGATACGTGCGCCAGGCACTAGAGGGGATTTATTCGGTTTATGATGATGAAAATAATCCGAAACAGAATGCACACAATCTAGGCTCATCGCCTCGCTCTGGACGAATTCTTGCATGTAAGCGGTGTCGAATAACCATCCTCCGGATTTTAAGTCGGTGTAGGTAGTTGACCACCTGAAGCGTCTAGCCATTTATTTCTGCTTCAAAGGTGGTTTATTCTCGAGACTGTGCTTAATCCATCCCTAGGAAGAGGGGGTAGTATTACTTGGGGTTGATCTTGAATGTTAGTCATGGTACAGGCCAGTTTCCCTCTCCCAAATATAGAGCAATAGGGAACTACCCAGTATTGTATTAAGACCAGGAAGAAGTCTGAGCTAAATGATGTAGGTCACCGAACCCAGTACAACAAAATTGAGTGAAAGCAACTTTCCTTTGGCCAAGTGCTAGCGGGATTCAATATCTGAAAATATTAATAAAATCAGCTTGAGGTCTATGAAGTCCACCCGACATCCAAAATAGCATGCCTGGTTTATTCTCAGCCACAGATGATGGCAAAACTATCAGGGAAAAACATTTGAGTCGGTAAAAATTAATTTCAATATAAATTCGCTCTGAATTAAAGAATGCATTGAGGATACCTGGAAAATTGCCTTGAGATCAATACGCGTAAGCAAGTCACCTGGAATAGGAAGTTTCTTGCGCCTGCATTCATCCCATAAGCATACGCGCACATCCCAGTCTGAAGGTAAGACAGTTATATCACTGTTACCGGTCCAAGTGACGAAAACGGCCGGGTTTTCTGCATCACTTTTGAATTCACATTTTAGAAGACTCTTTTGTTCTTTTAACCAAGAGTCAAAGTCCTTTAATACATAACCTAGTTCATCAGAAGAATCGACTGTGGACTTTTGAGATTCAACTAGAAAAGCAGGCTACCTGGTCAATATGGGTGAATTTTATGCAGAATTCGCTTAGATTAGGAAATTCGGTGGGCCTCACAAACCTACGATAGGAAGAAACCACCTCGCCACTCTTTGCATCCATGACGACAACAGGAAATTCAACTTAAGCATTAACATATGGCCAAATTACTGATCTCAGGAGTAAAGCCAACAGGCGTATTCTGATAGCAAGTGGATTCGAAATCGAGTACGAAGTACCATCTGGCGTTGATACCACTCGAGTAGAGCGTACGGTTGTCAGATAAATTGTCTTTATCATTAAATAATTTAGAATCAGGCACAACTAAGAAAATGGAACCGCAAGCTCTAAACTAAAATTAGCTGACAATGACTACCTAGCCAAGGAAAGAGTGTTGAACATAAATCCGAAGTACGCGAAAAGTGAGGCTAGTGGTTGTCTAATAGTCTTTCAATGTTGATCTTAACAATATAGCATATCTTTAAAATAGGCTTCAATATTATTATCAAGGAAATTATTTTATAATCTAGACATTCTTTTTTTACTTAATATTGTTAGATCAAAAGAACTGCTTACATAAATGAATAAATATATATATATGCGTGTTATACAGATTGTTATTATATTAATATACCAAATAACAATTTAAAATATAGTTTGAGCCAAATGTTTATCTAAGAAGAAGGACATAAGGCACGTATTCAACACTGGAGTCATAGAAATAACTATTAAATAATTTTCATCTGTATTAAAAAGCAAAAATATTCAATTAATATTTGTCAAATATTGGTATTGGTCAAGTAAACCTTATCCGTATACATGGCATTTGCTATCGAGCATCAAACAAATATTATTATCACAGGGCCATTGAATACAAGGATGAACAGTGATAAGACAATATTGCGTAGTCAACGATGATGCCAAGTTAAAGGCGAATAAGCCCTGACCTAAAATAGATGTAACAATACGGTATCCATACGAGAAATAAATGCAGGTAAATAGATTGCAACTCTAGTTAAATCGTGATAATACCCTAATATTCTGGCTACGCTTCCAATGTATTTATTTGATGTTGACA